TAGATGAACGGTACCTATTAAAATATTTTAAAGGGTTCTATCCAAGATTTGTTAGGCAAAATATTAACACTGCTTGCAGTGATTTTGTTCAGTACAAGAAAAATGTCAATGTTATTTTGCAACCCATTATTTCCATATGAATATGAATCACAGAAATAAACTATGTCAATTTTTTCACAACATACTCATTATAGGATATTGTTTGAACCCTCACTAATGACTCCTTGAGATTAGTTATTACAGTGATCAGAATCTAGAAGGACATTTCTGTGGCACTACAGAACAGGAAAGAAAACACACACACACACTCCTTTCATAACCAGTGACAATAATGGCCTATGTACAATCATTTCTTCTACTGGTTTTAAAAAGGGAAATAAACTGAGCATAAGCTGGAGAGTGAGGCCAACTAGGCCTTTGTTCTTCCAATCAATAAGCTGTTATATCTGTGAAAAATAAACGCTGCATAGATAACCTTCACTCACTTTTCACCCCATCCTAGTTTGTTTTTATAAAGAATCTACATTTTCCCACCGGTATTTGTTGAAAAACACATATATTTATTTGAAATTAAGTATTTTAGATATTGAAAAACTGCTGTACTGAATGATAAGAGATAATTTCCCAATTATTTCTGTGGATGTTTGTTATCTTGCTAAATAATAGCACCACTTGTTTGGGTCTTTTTCCTGCAAAAGCTTAATTTTTAGAAGTAGGAATTTCCTAATTATCTTTTTGCAAGTTGGTTTGCAAGTAACGTTACATAATTCCCCACTTAAGTTACACACTTAATTCCATGGAACTGTCCATTAGAAAGCACTGAAAACATCAGAAAATAAAACTCTATAAGACTCTTTTCTTTCTGACTCAGGGATTATAAACATTTGCAGCCTTAGATCATTTTTATGTAATAGACATACCCAGAGGCCTAACTCTTTATTCCCATCCTTCTGAAAGAGAAATTGTTTCAACGATGGAGACAGCATAAGTTCCAACTAAAAATATAGAAACTATGTTATATATTTCTTCAATTCTCATATACTGTGGTATGTTTTATCACATAAGCTGGCTTCTTTATTCAGAACACTCACCCACAAATGTGAATATGTGATTTGTGATTCAGGAATTGAAAATCATTTCTACTATGTGTGATACTCATTTGTGTATGTGTCATCAGCAGCAGCCAACCGCCTATCACTCCTTATACTTATTTGCATTAAAAAGTAACTGCTTTGCATTCAATGCTGCTAAATCGAAAAGTTGCTTAGCAACTAACTGGCCCTCACATCAGATAAATCTACTCTCAACAGATGCTGCAGCCTTTGACCTGCTATGAAGTACTCAAGGAAGCACCAAAGGGTAAAGCAGCAGTATAAAACAGTGTAATATTAAGAAATTAATATATTGAGAAGCCACCGAAGCAAATTATCAAGAATAAATGCACATACAAAAAAAGAAGAAATCCAGTTACTGGCTGGGTACACTGTTCAGCGAATATGCTAGATTTCACACATATTTCTAATGAATGTAAAAAAAAGATGTCTGATCAAGGACCCTTTTAGCCAGCATCTTAATTCTCTCATGAGGGGAGGAGGGGAACGGGTGCTTCTTGCAATATCTGAAAGCTATTATAACTCTCCAATTGTTCCAGTTTCAAACTGAAACTCCAATTGGGTTTCAAAGGCAAAAGTGAGACTATCCATAAAATACAGCAGTGGACAGTAGTACCTTAGTTCAAAATTGTAGGCAACTATTTGCTCACTTCTGATTTAAAACCCACTTCCTCATCAGCCAGTTTTCCATGGACACTAGACATGATCAATTTTCAGTGATCTGTTTGCAGTTCATCATTTAAGTTTCTTTTTTTCCTAATGTTTTGGAATTACCCTGATGATACTACCAATTTATATGAACCTTATTATTCAGATTTTGGGTTGATGTATGAATTGTGGTCTAAAGAACAAAATAAAATCTAGTCTGTATAAATAGGCCTGTTATGGAAACATAAGGGCCAGCATTCAGAGTTCACTATTAACATACAGATTCTGCTTCTGATCCTGGTTATAGCCAACATGACTATTAGGAATGAATAGCCCTATCAGCATTGGGGTGTGTGGGTGGATTGATGAAATAGGTGTTGTGACATTGAAACACAAACTCTGTCCCTTACAATGTTGCAATACAAGTTCAGGACAGTACTTTTGTTGTGACTTCATGAAGTGCATGAAGCATTTCATCATTTTGGAGTTTGTAACAGGAGTATTACTGAGGGGATGGGCAGATACTTGCAGCCACTTAACTGCTGCTTTTTTGCTGAGCATTAAACCAACAAAGAAAAGTCCCCTGCAAACAAACAAATCTCTCAAAATAGATGACAGCATCCTTCATGCCAACTGCTGATTCGAAGCCTTGTCTAAAAAGATAAATCCCTTGAGTTGAGCTCTTTTTCTAGTGACTACAAGAATAAAATCTATGCTATTTTCTAGACAGCAATATGGAAGTAGTTTGCCACTGCTGTCTTCTGGGATTTGTTTTGTTTTTTTACTTCACAAAGCTAGCCTATAGACTTGGTATTCCCTGATGGTCTTTGGAAAGAGGCAGCTAACAGAAGGGCCTACAAGAACAACAGACTCTGGTGAGGTAGCTGGTAAACTTTTGGAACTGATTAGCAGCATTTAAGGAGGGTTGTTTGACTAATTGGGTGGGTTTATGTGTTCTTTTAGCTAAGTAAGATATGTGCTTGCTTGTCTGTTGAATGCACAACCTGAAGAGAAGGGGCTTATAGTTAGCTGACTCATTGATCAAGTAACTAGCTAGTTGGTAGAGTCCTTTGATGGATTTGTGATTAATGTTTACATTGGTGTAAATGTGGCAGACATCATGTACCATCTAGGTAAACTACTAGACTGCAATGAGGAGGAAGCAGCAGATGTGAGCAATGCTAGTACCAATGACACTGGGAAATAAAAATGACTAGTCCTAGAAGGCAAAGTTATTTTTCTAGGTAGCAGATTGAAGTTCAGGCAATTCTCAGAAATGTTACCTATTCCATGTGCAGGGTTAGCTGGACTGACAGGATTCTTTATGAATTCAATGGTTGAGGTGGTGGTCAGACAGTAGAGTTTAGACTTTTTTTAGGCACTGGAGAACATTTTGGGATAAGGCAAACCTGCATGAGAGAACTGGCCTTCACCTGAACCAAAATGGAACTAGACTGTTAGTGTCTAATTAAAAATGAGCTTTTAGACTGATATCTGGGGAAAAAACTGATAGATACTGGGGAGCATCTGGTTTCAAAGGGTGTAAATATTTCAGAGATACTATAAAGGATAGGATGGATTTTGGACATAGGTTAATGGATGGCCAGGTCATTCAGGATAGAAGAGTGCAGCAATAACGCCATAAAAAGAGTTATGTCAAAACTGTAATGTCCTTCTACAAATCTATTATATATACACAAGTGGAACATGGGGTACTCTTCTGGCTGTTGGATTTGAAAAAGGCTGTAACAGAGATAAAAAAAGTACCATGGTCATGGAGCCTGAACACTTTCCTTATGAGTAAAGGACTCTTTAGCTTAGAAAAATGTGACGTGGGGGCAGGGGGGGGAGTATTAATGAGATGTATATAATCATACAGAAATTATTCTCATTCTCCATGGAGAAAATGGATAGAAAGTAGAAGTTTTTATCTTTGAAAACACTAGAATCTGATAAATTCTTGAAAGAAGTTTTGAAAGAGACAAAAAGAAGCAGTTCTTCACACTACACATAATTAGGCTAAAGAGTTACTGCAAGATGTGGTGATGCCCACTAACACAGATGGCTTTAAAAGGAGATTGAATAAATTCATGGAAGACAGATCTGTCAAGGGCTAGTGGTCTCAAAGACTCAATATTATCCCTGGGTTGGGGATAGCATCTGTTCAAATTCTAGTTGTAGCAAAAAATGGTGGAGATGGGTATATGATGGGAATTTGACTGAGTTCACTGAAAAACAAAATACAAACTTGATATGGGCCTTGGTTTGGTCCAGCAGGTGTTTGTAAGTTGTTTGGTCCAGGAGGGGTGTCTGTATGTTCATCCAAGTACTAATCTGGCCTGGCTCTTCTTAGCTTCCAAGTATGGTTGGCCTGGTCTATCCTTTTAAAACTATCTAAGCCTGTGTGTGTGTCATCAGATTTTGTGAAAGCAATTTCCATAAACTACCTGAATATAAATTACAAAGCAGTATTTCTTTTTGTGTATCCTAAATCTCCCCCAAACAATTTTTTTGGGATATTTCCAGGTGCTAAAGTTATAAGAGAGAAAACTTCTGCTTACTTTCTCTACACTTTGCATAATTTTATAAACCTTCACCATTCTTAGGCCTTAAGGACAGCTGACCAGTTAGGACCAAAAAACAAAAGAAACAAACAAAAACAAAAAAACAAAAAAACCCAAAACAAACAAAAAAAAACCCCTACTTCTATCTACTGTCAATCTTCTTGCTCATCAAATGATATTTATTAGATTAACAAACTAACATATTAGATGCAATGGTTGTAAATTTTTGTAAGCAAGAATTCTTGTTAAGTCAATCAAAGTATATATTTAAAAAATCAGACTCATTCTCTATTTGTTGACATTTTCATATTCAGGAAAGGGATATAATAATAATCATTTTCAGTTCAAGAAAAGCTGGATCTGCTACAATAGGAACAAAATGCATATTTTTCAGAGGCACTTTCGATTTTACAATATACAAACTAAACAGTCAAGAAAATAGCCAAGAAAACCAAAAAATTAAAAAGTAATTTGTAGCATATTTTTGACAAAGAATTTAAGAAATCCAAAGTGGCTGAGGTTAATTGTTTCATAAGATACAATTTCCAAAGGGTGATTCCTGGATCACAGAGACAAGGCTCACTGAGTAGCAAAGGATAATTCATAATTTTCAAAGCAGTGATAATAAGAAATGCACTTGGCTTTACTTTTCTTTGTTACTAAATAGATGACTTACCTTACAGCAAATGAATTCCTGGTGTTTGCTGCTATGTAGCTCAGAAATGTTTGCTGTTTTCCAGAACTGAAAAAGTTAAAAAGAAACTATGATGGTCAGGAAGATTTAGTAGAACTCGCTTGTCAAAATGATGAAACAGAAAAAGCTTTTATAGAACCTGCTCATGACAAAAAACTTTAACATAATATATAAAAGTGCAAAGTGGCTTTTGTCGTTGTTCTGGGGAAAAAAGAGCACTATCATTAATTTAGATACTAAGTGTAAGATTCTTCAGACAATCTCCTTGGGATACTTCATAGAAATATATTCTTGGCCAGGTAAATGGAATCCGGCAGATCCCAATTTTTACTAGATTCTTAATAAAATGCCCATGGATTCTGAAATCTGCCATCCTTACTGGGTTGTTGTTTTAGGATGTATAGTATCTGCAAGGATATATGTGCCTAGAAGTGAAAATAAAACTCTAATTAAGCTATCTCTGAAATCTATCCTACTCATTACTTTCTTCAAATGTAGTTGTGAAAAATCCTCTTGTTTTAAATCTTATACTAAAGGCTTTGTACATATAAATAATCCTATGTTTCTTCAAATCATTCAGTACTCTCTGCCTGATTATTTGGCCACAATTCTCCTCTGGTTTCATTGCTGTGTTCCCACAAAAAATCATTAAAACAAACTATAGGGCACAGATAGAAGTTTTAGCTTTTAGTACCTCCTACCCAGACAGTATTATCTAAGTCTGATAATAATCCAAAAGTAGGACGAAATACTATCAACATATAAGTGGAATGTAGTCATGATGGATCTCAAATCAAGAATATAAAAGTGCCCCAGATGATCACTTAGTTTAATTAAGTGACAGGTAAGGCCAGAACGAGAAATATAATGCTTTAAATTCAATAAAAGTAAAATACAATCTACAGCAAACTAGATGGTAATGTACACTCATTAATTGAACCAGGAAGGCATCCACCCAACATTTAAATGATATCAAACAGTTAAATCTGGAAAAACATACACATCTCTCATTTTGGGATTATCCTAATTTCTGGCACTAATTCTTTGCAAGAAAATATGGCACGTACTGTAGGTGCAAATCTATGGCACATTTTTCATGTCTGGTTGGGATAGCTGATGCAGCTTTGATAGCTGGTCTGCTACTAAGCTAGACACTGGAGCCATCACTTACAAAAATGGCTAGTAAGTTACTTGGTATGGCAAACTAGGTGCTGGGTAGGTACTGTTTGTGGAAAGTGCTTCTACTTAATTGTGGACAAACTTTCCTTCTGCTTGAACTATCATGTACCCCAAGAACATATGGGAAAGGAAAGAAGGAAGACACAAATTTACTTTCCACCATTTCAATTCCATTGTCTCTGTCAAAGTATACAAAATCAGAGTCCCTTCTTCCTTATATTCAGCACTACATTGTGAAAGGACTATCCGTATTAAGTGCGCACGTGCTCTCTCTCTCTCTCTCTCTCTCTCTCAGTAAACCCAATGAACTAATAAGGTTAAACATAATCTGATGTCAATATCCCTGTATAAATTGTTTTAGGATGGAAACACTATTGTAAGGAGATCAATGATTTAATATGGAACAAGTACCTGTGAAGTAATGCAGGCTGTGGGGTTTGTTAGTTGTTGTTCTCTTGTTTGTTTTGTTTTGCAGACCATTTTGGATGTTACCCCTGCTCCCCTGTAATTGTTTCTGTCTCTTTCAAAGCCCTGTGGCAAGCTATGTTCTTCTGTAACTTTTCTCAATCTGCCACTTTCCAGAAGTACAGGATTACAACTCACATCATTCCCAGCAATTACAGGAACTGGACATGTTAGCTGCCGAGAAGAGAGTTCTATTCCAACAGATCTGAGTATCACAAGGTTGAAAAGCCATGGCTGCTTGGCAAGTCATCTCAATATGTCCCTTATTTTAAGAAGTCATATCATACTCAGCCTGGTGTGATTTAGCATATATCTTGCATATCTCCTAATAAGGGAAAGAATTCTGAGGCTGCTAAAAGTACACAATATAGCCCCAAATGCTGTCACCCCAATTCCCCTCTCTGAAGAGACAGAAATTACATACTCTAAATTAATTTATCTTAGGTAAACAGCAAGAACCATGTTATAAACAGTATTGACTTCACTTCAACTTGTTAAACTTTTTCATCCTCATTCTTTATAAACAGAAGTGGGAAAAATTAATGTATGTACATAACAGCAAATGTTCTCTCACCATTTTACTTTTAAAAAAGCACTGTTTTTATCTTATATAAACAGTGGCGATGGAATTATAAACACCATTATTCCACCTCCATGTTAATGCTCTTATTATCTTGCATAAACAGAAGTGAACGCATATGTACATGACACTAATCAATCCTTTTCTTACACAAAAACCTAGATTCTTTTTATCTTTCATAAACAGTAGGGGAAGATTTACTGAATTAAAAACGCAGAGTTCCTGTTTTATATATGGGGCAGGGGGGAGGAAAGGAGAGAGAGAATATCAGCACCCCTGGATACATATTCTAACAAATGCCTCTCTCTATCTCTGGTTAGTCAGCAATAATGCTTTCCACAGGGCGTTGTGGAAAATATTTTCTATTTTTTGTGTTGCTAAGGCTCAGAATGGAAAGATATAGAACATACAGACCCTATTTTATCAATACCAGTCTAATAGTTGGGCCCCTACTAACTCATAAATGCCTTTCGGTAATGTTTTTCATGAAACATTTAATTAGGATGATTGCCTTTGCAATCTCTTCAGTTTAAGCTGGCCAAATAAGTAGATCCTAATAAAAAAAAGCAAACTTGTAGAGATAATTTTGTGACTCACCAGAATGTTACTCCTCAAAATGATTTCACACGGACCATGTAGCAACTATAATGTTACATGAATATTAAGGGCTATGAATTAAAAGGTGTCATAGAAAAATCAATTTCCAAGTTCACTCTTCAAACCCTAGTTCCTAACCTAGGCATTCCTGTGTACCGGAACTCCATTTTTTGTTGTTGCTGAAATTAATATCTTTATACAACTTTTAAAAATTGTAATAAGTCCTCCTCTACAGTATTGTGCAGATGAAAATTAAATTACCTCTTGCTTTCTAGCTGGTGTGTGGCCCATTAGAGAAGTGCATTGCAACGCTCAATTCTGAACACTATTATGGCATGAATTACTATGATTAGGTCATTCTGTAACTGTCTCTAGGAACAGCAGATGCTGTGCATCTTTACTCAGTATTATGCTGGATTATAAGTCTCCAAGATGTGCATTCAAACATCAAGTACTGTGACTGGCCATGTCACCATGGCAAGCGTTTTATGAATGGTCATGATTCCCTTCCACCCTCATAGCATTTGAATGTGTCCAGTGACCAAAAGATTGAGGACCCTTGTATTAGTTACTTGCATAAGAACTGCTTTGCTGGAGAAAACATTTTTCTAACCCATCCATCTATTGCAATCATTTGTATAGGTTTTTGTTTATAAAAAAGACATGAAGATAATGACATTCCCTTACATTACATAAATTTTTGTAGTCAGCTTTCGCTTACATTTTATTACTAACATTAAATTCAGAGTAATTACATGCAGCTCCAACTGTACATATACTACCTCTATACAAAAGATAAACAGTAAGTTCCACGTGTATAAATGTTTACATTTTACTTTTTGGTTTCCTATTGGTTGGTTAATTACACTGGACTCCTTATACCAAAACATCTGACCCTGAAATTTGCAATTCCTGTTTTTTTTTAACTCAAACAACACTGAAGCTAACTTGATTTTATAGAGGCTTCCAAATCCAAAAGATATGGATTTGGCCTTGTATTATCTAAGTGTATTATTTGGTTGGTTAATTACACTGGACTCCTTATACCAAAACATCTGACCCTGAAATTTGCAATGTTGGTTAATTACACTGGACTCCTTATACCAAAACATCTGACCCTGAAATTTGCAATTCCTGTTTTTTTTTAACTCAAACAACACTGAAGCTAACTTGATTTTATAGAGGCTTCCAAATCCAAAAGATATGGATTTGGCCTTGTATTATCTAAGTGTATTATTTGATGTAAACTAGCTAAACCTGAGTGTAAAAACAGAGCATGGCTCAGCTATTGGTATAATCTTCCATAAGTCCTTTTTTCCTTCTTTTTCTTAAATAAGGTGAAATTTCAGAACTCAAGCAATTTTACCTATCGTTTTGTAGCAACAAGGCAAGCACCTTCACCAAAATATACAGGCAGATGGGCTCAAAGACTATAATTCTTCTGTAAATTGCAACTAGAGAATTTCCCCAAGCCAATCTTGTTTATCACTGCACAGCTGGAATACAACACAGTATGGAAAGATGTAAATTACATAAAATATATTATTTTATACAAATCATTCAAGAATTTTAACATGTTAAACTGAAATACGCAATATTACATGAAAGAAATGAAAAACAATTGCTCTGGAAAACCAAAAGGAAAAGAAATTTGAGCTCTATTTTTCAAGCAAAGGAACCTTTATCTCAACACTTATAAATTCAGTGCCATAATGCACTGTAAGAAAAAGGATTCCCGAAATCATGAGGACAGTGCATTATCAGATTAATATTAATCTCTAGAGTGCTAGATTAATTTCCTGTCCATGTTAATGTCTTTTTGATTAGGATGGAAAATAATAGAAAAAAATCAATTGCAAAAAGTAGAAAAGATTTAAAATACTAACAACTTTTAGAGCTTTTAGCCCAATAGATGTAATTAAATGTTAAAAGCTAGATCAGTGCCATATTATCAATTATTTTGTGCTGTAGATGTTGTACAAAAGTCAAAGAAATCCGGGCAAAATTTTATATAATACTTATCACATTTGCTTCCCATCAAGGAAAATAGTTTTTAGTTAAACTACGTGCATTTGCAGCAATGAAAATAAACAAGTGTTTGGGCTGCAGATGTAAGAGAAATTGATCATGTTTATAACTAGAAATAAACACACACACAGTCAGTGGAAATGCCTTCTGAAATACTTAAAGGCCCACTAGGTCAGTATCATCTACAGGTATTCAAAAT